ACCGATAGCCAATAAACTAAAAAGAAGCAACAAAGATCCACCAGAACCTCAGAACGAACCAATGCAAAAAAAAAAACAGTTCGCAAATATTTGCGGAGTGTTGTGATACTTATTTGCTGTCTCCCGAATGGTAGTTCTTGCTGGCACTTGCCCTTCTTACTATGTCCACCTAATCAGATAAATAATCTACACCCCGTTTGCCTTATCATCTATCCAAACTTTTGGAACAACTTCTCTCCATAAAGTAACCGAGTTGAACATTGGTTCGGGACTGGGGTGGTTCGGGGGGTCAAGTTGCACTACTGCTAGAAGTAGGGAATAATGTCAACTCGATAATCACTCATAGAAACAATGGCAATTCAATGGCAACAGACTAATGCCGGAGCACTAACTTGAACGGTTACGTTTCCGTTCTCCATAAGTAGTTGGATAAGCCAAATCATTGCAATTATGAATAGAAGCGAACGCGCAGGTGGATTCAAATCAGGAATGAACAAGCTCTTTAAGCTGATCCTTTTTATGCCACTCCAGAGCGATAAAAAGTATTGACTTAATGATGTTGGACAAACATATTCATATTGGCATTTCATCAATCCAGACACGAATAACGTAGCCAGACGTTTTACTCAAGTTCCTCTGTCCCTTCAAACTTAAATTTTAGGGAAAACGGAACTTGACAGCGGCCGGCTCTGTTAATTGTCTTCACTTAGCCTTCACGGCTTCAAATATTAGGTTTTAACCACATATTCTAAATGTGGACGGATACTTACAGGATTCAAGGGATTTCAGAGGGAAGAACGAGAATTGCAGCTTATGACTACGCTAACCCGGGTCAAATCTCTCTCACTGAAACATTGACAACTACAAAATCAAAACTGTTATTCGCACCTCAATGTCTTGTGGATCAGCCAGCTGAAAATTGTTTATCATTTTCTCCAATTTTCCTATGGAGAAACTTTTATCAGAAGCATATACACGGAACTGAACCAGCGGAAATTTTCCGTCCTTTTGAAGAGGTAGAAGAGGCTGAAAAATGCAGAGAAAGAACGATGTATCTGTCTGTGTATATATAATGTAGCTAAACCTGCTTTTATAACAGATTTGAAAACCTACCTTTCCACATGCAAGACCTTCCTTACAAGATGGTACCGAATATATTTTATAGAAAGTATTTATCATATGACCAATATAATACGCAGTCATAAGAGTTAAAATCGTCGATAGGCTGAACCAAGACCCCATCTGAAGCAATGCTTTAAGATTGAGCTAGTTAGCACTTTCGTGGGTAAATAGTGAGATACTATGGAATATTACCATCAAGATAGAAACAGTGCTTCGAAAATTAAAGCCTTTATTTCATTAGTACCCCTAGGTGAGCAACCTTCAAAAATTGATACATACAAAAACGAGAAAGGCCTATAAAACAAGGAAAGGCTGTGGAGATCGCAACATCATTAAGTGGAATGAGCAAATGAAAAAAGGAAGGAAAGTACTGATCCGTTCAAGATTAGAAAGACGCAACATTCTGAATGGTCCTATCTGCATAATACACATGCCTTTTAGGCAAGTCCGCTTTTGAAGTAAGCCAACCTTTAACCGAAGGCGCGTTGACTTCCTGTTCCTCCCTGAAATATTTGACGTATTGTTAGAACTAGAAACAATTAAAGTTTATGATTTCAACTCGCCATTCTGCCTTTACACAATTTTTATCGACTAAAACTTCAGCAGTTTTCCATGAAAACCGTACTAGAGATGAATATCCAAATATGGGATCCACACTATCCACCAGAAACTTTTTGGTATTTGGATCTGAAAACAGTTGGATAATATGAAGACGTATGGTCCGAGAAATACTGCAAGATCAAGACTAATTGGGCTGTGAAAAAAGCTAACCTCCAGGGTAACCACTACCATAACCGTCAGCTGGAATTTTTACATCGGGCTCAGCGAATTTCCATGACCGAAGGCGGCGATCACGCGTCACTTTAGCAGCTATAGAAGCAGCACTGACAATTGGAAAGAGGGCGTCAGCCTTCTCGGTTACCTGAAAAATGGGGCTCCCGTGAAAGTTTTTCAATGACAGTAACTGGGACAAGTGAAAAAATCACAAGCATAGCAGCCGATGGCTTGGAATGCACAACCATAGCGAGCACAAAAGAGCTATGAATACCAGCTCAGCCAGCAGGCTAAACAGCATCTCTCACGTTCAAAATTTACGNCGTTAATTCACTACAGGACCAAACGAGGAAGCAGTATAAACTCGAAAAAATTACCGTAATAGATATTCCAGGAAATATCTTCTCTAGTTTAGATTGATACGTTGCTTTGGGTCCTACCGTATCCACCTTTATCTGCAAAATGCTCATTATAATATACGCAGCTTGATAGAAGACACAACATAAACTGGAGTAATGTTCGGAACACAACATCAAGCTTTGAAAGAGCAGCAATAAAATAGAATTTCAACTTACTTCAACCACATTTACTTTAGACGATAGGGCATCACTTATCAAATTTATGGCAGCATTATGCGATATTTCGTTGAGGGAACATTTTAACCGTCTCAACATTGATGTACTAATGTGCTGAGCAGACAAACAGCAAACAGCAAAGGCGACAACCTGCAGGAAATCATTTCGTGGAAATATTAAGAGCGTAAGTTCGTAATTATGTCAAGCACAGCATTTGTATAAAGAATTTCTCTTGAATTTCCTAAATTTTCTTTCATGGCAATTCGATTTGCAGTAGGAGCCCACCCAGCGAAAGTCATCAATATGAGGAAGTAGTCAAACCATTGGAATCTCATAAAATGAGAAAAAAGGTGAGCGAGACAAAGCATCCTTCACCTGCTTAGTTTCTTCGTTGTTATTCATGTCATCAAATATCTCTTCACGCTTTATTTCGGTGAGAGCCTTAGAATCCGCGACACCCAGCTCTCTTAGTTCACTATCTTTGTCTATTGGAGAAATGGCACATCCGTATACCATTGGTCCGAGAACTGGCCCTAAAATTTTTAAAGTAATCAAGTGGAACTACTCAACAACCCTACTAATATTTGTTTTGTCGCCTAAGACCTAAACAGGGAGTGAGGCGATATGCTTTCTCCTTACAGAAAGGATTTTCTGGCTGTGGGAAACAACACGCTCCAAAACCGTAAAGGAACCCTAATAATAACTTATCAACAAACAATTCATGAGATTAGAAAGGAGAACTGACGACAGGTATTTGAATGATCACGAAAATAATCTGACCTTAATTGGAAAATGTTTGGGATTGAAGAATTCGCTTTTTTTCTAGAAGTTACCTCAGTGCTAGCGGTAAGCGTGAAAGAAAGACTACCTATCGTTCAGTTTGAATATATAAGATGTTAACTTTTCGAAAATATTTCTAGTAGAAAATTTTCGAAGACGACTGGACTGGTTTTGGTTTTGAGGTAGGAATATGAATTACCATGCTGTAGTCAGTTGAAAATAGCCAATTATGCTCGACAACAGGCACGACAACCCACATCATGATCATATCATTAAGATAGCTTGAGTCCAGCATACACCTCCTACCACAACTTTCATGCTGCAATCAAACTATGCATACTAGTGTAAAATGGGATGACCGCTGACGTGTACATCTCACAGGCCACGATAGAAAACATGCAGCAGAACTGGTCGAATCCAAGAAGCACAACGAATATATTAGAACAGGGAGGCTTCATGAGACTGAATGATTAATGAGTAACGGTATAATACTTCATTTGAAAAGACAGCGAAGGGAAAGCGTCTCGAGAACCACTTCCCCAGCGATCTCATTCGAGTGCACTTTCATAAATGAGTTTTCTGCATGTCATTGAATGAAAATCATGGAAATCACGTCATCATGACACGAGAAGACGTCATTCTGTGCTAAGCGTGATTCATTCACAACCAACCGAAATCTAATACGGCAGCAAAGTGTGGAATAGTCAAATGTGAGGTTGAAGGAAAAATTTGAAAAATGAACGGATATTCAGATCAATATCAATGTAAAGGTATGACTGGACTTGCTTAGATCTAAGAGTTTGGCAATTTACGTTAAATCCCATTTCCACTCGTATTGTGACCGACTAATGTTTGAAATACAGCGGAATAATCGATAGCAGCACTTTTAAGGGTACGTTCCCAAAACCTTCACGCTAATCCAGGAACACCAGATGGAAACAAGAGTCTAGAACAGAATTTGCAAATAGCGAACAGGCGTCAGACAAATAAACATCAAAAGACCGAAATAAAAGGAAAATAATCGATTTTACAAGACGTACCTCGACCTGCCTCATCGATTCCTAGAACACATGGAATTCCATCACCAAAACCTACCCATGTTTCGCTTCTTTCTATTCCTCCTGACATCTAAAACGATAGCTTCAAGTGAAGAAGACCTCAGAGGCATGATTAACATCGAGCGATGGTTTAACTAAACGTGTCGCAAAATGAGAAAGTTCAGCCCAGTTTAAAATTTGATCGTTGAGTGCATGGTAGGGACGCAAGTTTGCGTTCTGCGTACAACTATTCGGATCGCCAACTACCGTATTCAGCTTGCATTTGATACTTTTTTCGGTCCCTTTTCAGCAATTCTACGAGAGTTTCTGCTGTGTATGGTAGCTGCATTGTCTGATCCTGAGCTAGCAACTTATTTTATGCCCCTCCTCTCCTCAATTTTTCCCGGATGCACAGTAGCAAAGCTTTCTTCTTGTATTGTTCTAACTTAGATTTCGCTTATCACCTAATTTTAGGCGCTAGACAGCGAATTTGTTGTCCCTGTCATCGAAGAGCCAGCTCTCATCTCTCGTTCCCAGACCCTGCAACAAGTCCTTCTTTCTGGGTGAGAGGAGCTGCGGCTGACTGACTGGGACATACAGATATGCTGTGCCTGACTTCTTTGACTATTCACTTTTGGAGAAAAGGTAACAGCCGACCTGCCCGTTTCTTAAATGAGTGCATTAGATAATGATGGTCATTATGGTCATTATATAGTTCAATGAATGGGAGCTTAAAAATTGTCAAAGAATTTAGAACGTGCAACCAACTGTCTCAAGATTTCTGCATCAACCCACATTTCATGCTTGTATCGAAGGGGCTGAATTCTTGGTTCTTTCCCATATCAACGGCTTCATCACAACCCACATTTAGCTCTGCATTCATATATTTTAAAGGTGAGCTGAGGTGAGCTTCTGTCTGGAAAGCTATGCTAGAGTTCCTTCCCCACTAAACGTAGGGTTTCTGGGTCAAGGCAAACAGATGAGTCAGTTCTTTCAAGATCATTAAATCTTACTGATTTGTAGGAGGCAGTATAGATCAGAAATGTAGGACTTTCGGGTTTTTCCGTGGTGTCCTCTTCAAGGCCGTCAGTGTAGGGCAGCGAAGTAGCCGCACTACACGATCTGGAACCTGTATATCCTATTTCGTGAAGGCCAACCACCGCAATTTCCAATCCCTGTCAGCCGATCGTTTGTTCTCTTTCAATCTCATCATTACCGGGGGTATTCAGGGGAGCATCATAGCAGTTCGAATCATGTCGACTCGTTTTTGCCAAAATGAGAGAATTGTATTCGAGAGGAAAATTTTCTTGAGCTCCTACCCTCACTCCCTTTTGTGTGTTTAGCCATCGGGTAGCCTGGATCGCGGGGGCTGCTGACCACACTTCAAAGGAAGAATCCACTGAAGGCCGATCAGTGGGGTCTGAGATTCTCCAGCTTCCCTATGTATGATATGTAGGATCTGTAAAATGGCAACTTTAATCTTTACGTATGCCATTTGCCCACTTAGCAGTAACCATCCTAAGTAAACAGATTTGCCGTAGGGGCTGAAGAGGTCGTCTGTGATTCTTCGATTACATGGTTTTAAAAATCTGTAATTTCTGAAATCTTCTCCAAAAGTCTAATCTTCAGTACTGTCCGCTACTGTACATAGGTTTAAAATTGAATAAATAATAAACTTCTAGAACAACAAAGAACTGATTAGCAGGTTAATTGTTCGGTAGAGTGGTATGGCCTCTTAGTCAGGCAGAATTGAAGGATAAACTCTCTGGACGTTGACCAACTCATTCTTTATGAGCCCCGCATTCAACTTCCATTCAGAATCGTAGTGGCGCATTGAATGCGTATGTGGCCTATACAGTGACTTACGGTGGCCAGCTGAAGTATAAGCCAGTGCTTTTATATTCCCAGGCGGGTCTGGTAGTAATCAACCGACTCAGGAGAGATAGAAGGCTTAGTTGACCTAGGCGGACATCGATCTGGGGTTCGAACCCGTGACCGCGCGTGCGTGATGGTGATAGTGCGACACTTGCCACTACACCACTTCTGCATACGAGGGTGATATGTACAGAAAACTAGGGACAAGCAAACTCTGAGATCCATTTCCTGTTACATTGTACACAGTAAACACTGAATGTGTCTTTGATAAAGTGACGTTTTATTTGAACAACGTAAGAGAAAGACTTTAACTCGTAGGTTATTTGAGATCTTGTTTGGTTACCATGCTTGCATAGAGGCCCTCTCTGGCTAGTAATTGCTGGTGTGTCCCTTGCTCCTGGAAACACGCATGTAGGTGAAAAAATACGAACAAAAAAATGGGAAAAATGATCATTAATGATTTTTCAGCTGGATTTGTTAGTTTAGAGAGGTCTTTTTTAGCAGTAAACGTGAGTTCTATTTGAAAGTAATAGTGAAAAGTATCTAGCCCTGTGAAATCATTGGAAGCCGTTGGTAATGGTAGACGGACAGTTAGATAGGTCAGGGTCAGCGACCTCACCACCCCTCAACCTTTTTCAGGGGCTTAATGAAACTACTTTCATCCAAAATGATGTCAAATGTTACTGATTAGTTGCCGGCCATTCTGGTAGTGGTATGGTGCTTCTTGGAATTAGCTCTTACGATGAAGGATAACAAATAGGACCGTTTCTGAGTGTGCAATTTGAATAATTATTCTTGAAATGAGAGGAAAATCAAATGAATGACAACCGCCATCCATTGAAAATGTCAGCCCCCCCCCCCCNCCCCTCCTCCATCGTTATTACATGCCTAATAAAACAGGCTTCCTATCAAAGAGGTTGTTCAGGTATGAGTATGATACCATTACTTTAGACGGTATAAACCTGGACTTGCTCATAAGAAACCAACGCCTACATATCCAGCCGTGTAAATAGCAGATTGATGGAAATCCAGAGTCTTACCTCAACCATTCCATCTTTAATGACAATTATAAGATCTGCATTTTGTATAGAAGACAGTCGATGAGCGATGACAATACAAGTTCGACCTTGTCTCGCTTTTTCCAGCGCTTCTTGTACAATCTGAAGTGGTCTCTTATAGAACCAAACAGTGGGCCAGGACCTACTTTCGACTTACTTTTTCACTTTCTGTATCTAATGCACTCGTAGCTTCATCTAGGAGTAGAATTTTCGGATCACGAATAACAGCTCGTGCTATAGCAATTCGTTGTTTCTGCCCGCCTGACAACATACTGCCTCGCTCACCAACAATCGTGTCGTAGCCCTGCAAACACTAGGGTACTGTAGGAGACAACCTCAGTTTTAACAAAATTTTTGAGATGAATGTGAAATTTCAGTTCAAATTAATCGCCCATGAATTCAGAGGGCATGATCATGGCTACGGGCATAAATGCTCAACATATGTAGTGATTAGCAGCTGAGAGAGTGAAGGCATGCAGAGTTGCTTGCTTCAATAGATCGCAATAAGCTAACAAAGTAAGCGGGTAGGTTTGCTCTCAGCATACGATTGTAGCTGGGAACAAACCTACCTGTAATGTGTGTGCAGCCAGAGCGCTGTCTTTGACCGTAGCAAACGACGCATTTGTTAGTCAGACTAGTCGTTGAAAATGTCGGTCTCCTGCCTTACACCAGTAGTTTGGGCAAATCAGGGAAATAAAGTATATTGAGGACGATTTCTTTTACCAGCACTAGCTCACTTTTGTAGCAAATTGTTGCAAATTGACCGCCCTCTCAACCAAAGGTGAACTTCCTACTTTGGCTGCTTTCATAGTCCACGATTTGGCCCACGAGCGAGTGAGCGGTCGAGCGTTTTGGGCGGCGCTTGGCCCTTGCCTACAACTGAGTCTTGGTCGATACCTAGGGCAAGCGCCGCTTCAATCGCTCGATCGGTCGCTCGCTCGCTCGCTCGCGGGCCAAATCGCGGACTATGAAAGCAGCCTTTGATTCATCACTTGGCATAGACGCGCTTTATAGGTGCAAAAATTGCTACGATTTTTCGACTCAGTTGACGCTTTTATATAATACTTACGTACAGATGGTAATTTGATGATAAAATTGTGGGCATTCGCTAACTTAGCTGCATTTTCGATCTGATCAACAGTCGCTTGCTCGAGACCATACGCAATATTTTCTCTGTAATCTTTACATATACATAGTAAGCACATGGTAAGGAAAAGTTTCGTACCTGATGGAATAGTTGAAAAGAATTGGTTCTTGTCCGACAAGGGATATTTGTGAACGAAGATGCCTCAAATTAAGTTCACGAGCGTCAACTTCATCGAAAAGCTGCAAAGCTCAGTGGTCATAAGTTTCAATCCGTAGCATCAACCTATCTACAGTAACTCGCGTATTTTTTGAAAGGAATGGACGAGTCGAATGCGATTTCTAGGAAGGGCCAGGAGGCGAAAAACTCAGATGCACCTTTATAAAGTTGGGTGAACCCATCCAGGGTTCGCAAATCACTGTGAAGATTAATGATGAGTCGCGGTTGGGGGGATTTATTCTCGTTCGCAAAACTCACCACAGCTCCAGCCACAGGATCGTAAAATCGCTCGATAAGTTGAATAGAAGTGCTCTTTCCACAACCACTAGGTCCAACCAATGCAACAGTCTTTCCTGCAGGGACCTAAAAAGAGTTCAGGGAAGAGTTGACAAGACTCAAGTTTCGAGTGTCGCCTCCAGAGACTGAATAATGAAGGGTCTCAGGTTGGAGTGATCATTCGTAGTTGGAGACGTACCACAAACACGTTTCTCAAGGCTGATCTCAGCTCTGTTCTAGAAGAGATGTTGAGCCTTTAGGGTGAGCGTCTACTGTTCAGCGCTTCAGAAATTCATTCCCAATTCCACAAGACTACCCCAATTTTGTAATAATTTCTTTAATTGTCAGGTAATTGTCAGAGGTTCGCTCTGTAGCAAGTTCTGATCGCTCTTTCTCTCCATTCGCAAAAGATAAACTTCCTATTATTAGCCTAGGATGAAGAGGGAATTTCAGGATCACCCAGTTGGAAGAATTCCTCCGTAGTCCAGAAATTAAGTCTGACAGAACTTTGAAAATCATTTTTGTGGTATACTTTCCTCAGAAATAGCATATTCGTACTAAATTGCCCGTAAGTACCTTCAGAGTGATTCCTTTGAGAACCATATCTCTACGACTGACGGGATATGAAAAGGACAGATCCGAAAAGTGAATCGATCCTTGTAACTTCTGAAGAAAGCGATAATTTGCCAAAAAGTTAGAAGAAAAATTGGGGTAGAAACTCACAGTTTGCATTCCTAATGGAGACAGACTGTCGATTTTCGGTTTGTCCCTTAGCATTCGGAAAAGAAGGGCTGCTGACAGTCGAGCACGGACATACTCAGGGAAGTAGGTGGCAAATGCAATCAAAGACATCGACGCGGTGTTCAGGGATTCAATCACCCTGAAGAACTAATGAGACTCTTCCTCAAGGGCAAGTGTATGGAAGTGTGTAGAGCTTACTGGAACACCGTATACGGTGAACAGATTCTCCTACCAACCAGCCAGATACCATAAAGATAGGCGATGGCAAAGTTCAAATTCACAAAACTAACGGAGAGGGCATAGGTCAAGGACTGAACAATGCCTGAAAAATGGAAAATTGAGGAGAAACAAGTAAATAAGTATTCATATAAATAAGCATATTTACAGAAAGATAAGACATAAATTAGTCAACAAAACGATAGCTCTGGTCAGTGGGTAGGGGACGCGCCACGTATTCAATTTCCGAATTTGGACCGTTCAATCGATTATGTTATTCCGAACAGATAACTACCTCTATTTGCTTCCTTCCTCGCTGAAGGGAAGTACCGCTTCAAATAGAGGTTCTATTCTGCTTCTGCTCCTTCCACTATTACAACTGGGAGATATTTTTTGTATTGCAAACACTTTGTAATTCAGTACCTCGAAATATTGCCCTTTTGTGAGGACCATGCATTTGGGTAACGAACTTATCCAAGAACTGCTGTTCCTTAGTTAGATATTGAACTGTTTTATGCTGTTCTATCGCTTCTGTAGCCAGCTGAAATGTACTAATACTGTAGTCATACTCGAAGTTAGCAGGGCAAAAGAAATGCTGTGGCTTACTCTTGACGGTTCCTCGGCTAGAACCGCATCGCGTTGACCTCGGACCTTCAGATATCGGGCAACAAGTGTTTGCAGTGTGATTAGAGTCTGAAATTGCAGCAGCAGGAACCGAATGAAGTATTTGCAATTCTACAGTTTCTTACTACGGCCGTAAGTACTCCAATTGGTGCCATAGCAGGGCCGTAGGAGAATGCTATGGAGATGCCTCCAATTATCGACGACACAGCTGCGACGACATCAGCAAGACGTTGATCGATCGCCTTGAAAGTAAATTTATTGAAAACAAATGATAGGGTTTTGTGAAAGAGAGTGTCCCCACTAAAAAATACTCGGTGATGGAAAGTCAATCTCAGGTACATGGGTGCTTTTGCAGCCGACCTTGATGCTGACCGGGTTTTGGATTCCGAAATATTAGCATGAGTTAATGTGTAGCTCATAAACCCTGTATCTCCTACGGGTGAGCTAGCATGAGTTAATATGTAGCTCATAAACCCTATATCTCCTACGGGTGGGCCCATCATAGAGGAAAGGTCCTTTAACGAATACAATTGTGTCTGCAGTAATCACCCGTTGAGCGCCATAGGGGCCTTTTGAGTTAATAACTTAGCTCCTTCCCAATTTATAAACGGACAGCAGGACCTTACCGCTCTAATATTTGGTGCGTCCGTAGCCAGTCTTGTCGTCAATTTTCCTGAAGCATGTTCTTCGTGGTCAAAGTACTCTCCATCCTGGAAGTATCTCAATCAGATTTACATATGGGTACTATGAAATTCCGATCCACACTTACTTGCTTCACGATGTTCGTAAACAACGATAGACGTAGTCTATTTGTCAGAGACTCTCCAACTCTTCCAAACAGATAGCCAGAAATCATTGTGCTTATACCGCTAGAAATGCCCAGAAGTGAGAACCATATGGCATTCATCGTGGCTCCATGTAGCTTTTGGGAGTTGCTGCCGCTTGTCAAGGTCTGAATTCAAAGTCATCAATGACACGACCAGCGATGATATGATTACAGAGTGGTGGAATGCAAAGTGATGGTTAGTACAGAAAAATCGAATAAAGCGACCCAAACCAGGTATATTTGGGATCCTGCCTATGCCGAATTCTTAGTGCTAACAATAACTGGGGAAAGTACTACGAAAATTGTCGGACCACGCCTACTTTCATTTGTCTGTGATCCCTCACTGTGACTAATGTTTTCGATGGTCTACATTACGGTAAGGGAGAGGCTTCTTCTAGATAAAATGAAATAATTGAGGTATAGTTATGAAGAAATCGATCAGTTGCAATCACATTGCGTTATTTCGTAAGAGGGCACAGACAAGCAGAGAACCCTCCATCGGCCGGTCTGACGAGTTCCCTTAATACCACCTTTGGCAACCGTGGGCGTTTCGGGCAGACTTTGAGCCCTTATCGCATGCTTCCTAAATCCATTTCGGTCTTGAGAAAGCCGACTATTTCATGCTCTACAGCCGAAAATTCGTTCAAACAGGTATCTCATAAAAAGTGTCCCTTCCGAGACATGGTTTATGAACATTCCGGGTCATGTCCCTGAACCGTTTTGACCTATTTAACGGAATCAAAGGTAAAGTACATAGATTTGAGGTTGTAGCATGATAAACTGGGCTCTTGAAAGCTACATGAAAACGACTTGTAAACCACTTCTGCATTTATTGCAAACTTTCTGGACCTGCGTGGGCTTACCCATAACTCACAACAGATAGCACAACGCTTAAATGCTCTCACCTTGAACATTCGACCGTAAATTATCGAAAACACAGGGAACGTCATCCCACGGGCTACGGCAAGGATAAGAGCCACTGCCAGTTGGCACCATTCCTGTCTTGCAAACTTCAAAATATCTAGGAGACTTGCTCCTTTCACTTTTTTCTCTTCGACTTCTTCCTAAATTGTGGAGCTTTCTTGAGAACAATGATTCTCGGAATTCCGATACTCAAAAAAGTGAAGAGTACGATGTAAGCGGAGGTTACCTCGAGGGTTTCTAGTTCCTGACCACGAAGTTCCGTGGGACGTGAGATGGAACGGGAGAGGCGTTTGCTTCTTCTCCTCATCAGTGTTACATTGTGTTCAGCTGTGGCACCATACAAGGTAGGTTTATTGTAGTTTTAGACCAAGACTGTTCTTTACTGGGAACTCTTACCAGTTTCATCGTCGCTCCCAGCTTTCTCAAGTTGCTCAATCTCTTGCGCTCTCACCAACTCCGAGTACAACCCATTCATTTTCATGAGTTCGTCGTGGTTTCCTAGGAACAGATTATTTCACTCACTTCGTTCCACATGTAGGAGTGCTCTGTCAAGCCAAGGGTTCGTTTCTCCGTCGAGCTCACCGTCTTCCACTATCCGACCATTGTTGAATACGTAAATGCGATCGACATTTTTTATTGTCGAAAGTCTGTGTGCGATCGAAACTGTGGTCCTCCCGGATTGAGCCTGAATATTGAGCTCCACCATGTGATACTCGGACATTTTAAGATGCAAAACATTTGATAGCAGGATAGGTGATTATAATTGTTTTTACATTTTTTCTTGTTTTTGTATTGGAAAAGAAACGACAACCAAGACCGATCCCAGCCAAGCATTCAAACCGCCACTAGGATTCTAAATGGGAGCCTAGAACAGGGCGCATTCCAGAGCCAAGGTCGATTAACGCCAAAACACTCTTTCCTCAAATTTTGTTATAATAAGGAATCTTCTCTTATAAATCACTAAGTTTCTTCGATGGACATCAGCAGCTCTTAATTAACCGAACTCGATGAACGTACATTTTCAAGCGCCTGTTGGACAATACTTTCGCTTTCTGCATCCAAAGCACTCGTTGCCTCATCCAGTAGAAGAATTCGTGGATTCCTAACCAGGGCTCGAGCGATAGCAACTCGCTGCTTTTGTCCACCGGATAGCTGGACTCCACCTTCACCTATTCTTGTCTGATAGCCCTGAAAACAAGCCTTTCAGTTCATCGTAGTGGTTTCTCTTTCTCTGACTATCGAAACAGTTTTTCAAAGTTTATATAAGGTCATCTCTTTCGAGAGTTCGTAAAATTTTTTCGCCAACACTCTAGTGTTCAGTCAAGGACTCCATCGTTCTAGCGTCCAGGGGCCATCCGGGCACCGAGTAGCACCCCTTCTTTCACTTTTGTGGGTAAGATATTGTTAGGCCTGCATTGACACACAATTTGTCAAAGTGACACATGCTCTCAGTTGACTACGAAAGTGTAGTAGGCACTGTTATACAGAGACCGGTACGATCGAGCCCAGGTCCGGCTATCTTTTTTCCGCTCTCCTTTACAGTGATATTAACACCCAGCTTTCGACATTACTCTTAGAAAACGCAGCTCTCACAGAGCGCCGTGCCTAGTAAAATTGATTCATTTCATAATGAATTCGAGCGGTGGTTTTTCCTGTACGGCGTCACATTTCGAAACTCCACTTTGATTTCAGCTGCTCATGTTTATTTTCAATTTTTGAATATTCTGTTTTGCTATGACGAAATTGGGCAGTGACGTAAACGACTGTACTAGCTTCCGATCAAACCAATGTCAATCGGGCTTTCGTCTTCTCTTACTCACCATCCCTGCGACTTTCCGCGCACTCTTGAATGTCATGACCTAACATTCACATGACTAGTGTGTACGGCCGGCTTTAGAAATGATAGTGGTGCTGTTAATAATGTAATGAATGTGTAACATACTTGGCTTAGGTTCATAATAAACTCATGGGCGTTTGCCATTTTACAGCAATCTTCCATTTCCTTCTGTGAGATATCCGCTCTACCCAATCGGATATTGTTCTCAACCTGAAATTCCAGAGGTATCGTCAATTATTTACAAGAAAAAGAAGAGGGGACGAATCTAGATAGTCTCCCCTTTATTATTCAGGAATTGGTGACTTGGGGGTGAAGTAAGCTATCGAGTAGTGTGATCAGGTAGGCTCATAATTGAAAAAAGAAAGTAGTGATGAGCTTCTCGTTGTTTTTAAAAACTGCTGGCTAAATATCCGCATGTAGAGTCTCAGGTGCCATTGGATTGGTCTGACATAGCTTTTTCTCAACTCCAATTCGTCTTTTTATACAGGCTGAGGACAACCGCGGTATCACTCACGAAAGGGAGCTGTAGAGACCTCTAATCCAATCTAATATGAGGATCGTTGAAGGAAAGTTCAATTACCGTGTCAGCAAACAGCGCTGGCTCCTGAGAAACGACTCCAATAATGTTCCTCAGATGTTCGATGTTTATTTCGGAAACGAGAACATCATCGATGGATACCTGGAGCTTAGTATTGAGGGATTACCTTTGATCATTTGATGGCCTGCTTTTACCTTTCCTGATTGCTGTTCATAGAAACGAAGAAGTAGCCCAAAAAGTGTGCTTTTCCCGCAACCACTATGGCCAACGAGGGCGATGTGCTGACCACTTTCTACATTGAGTGAGACGCCTTTTAGAACTTCAACCTGAAGTAGAACGAAAGAGAATACTGATGCAGCTCTACCATTGCTATACCTCTGGACGAGATGGATAGCTGAAGTGGACATCAGATATCGAAATTCGACCTTTGACATTTTCAAGTACCCGTCCTTCCTTAGAGAGAGAATCGATAGGCGGTTTCTGAAATAGGAAAAAGTATTCCATCAAAAAATCCTCCGAAGGGGAGTGTTTAATTGGCAGACGCGATCGATAATGGAGAAAATCGGAGCAGCAGCCGTCATGCTGGAGATGAGGACACCGATCTGAGGAGCTGCTTGGCCGACGGCAAAAGCTCCACCAATGACTGCCCAGAACACAGAGAACACCGTACCAGGTGTAATGGCACCGGAGATAACCAGTTTTGTACCATACCTGAAGTTTATTGCTCTAGATTACGGTAGGTTACGGTAAGCAGATTACGGTAGCTGTTACGGTAGTAGCAAAGTGATCAATAGTTAACACAATAGAAGCGCTCCTTACCAGAAAGATATACCCATGGAGACGAAAAGTGAACCCATAATGAAAGCTGTCCCAAAGGATGTCAGAAAGGCTTTTACCATACCTTGCCTCATCCCTTGTTCCAGATAGTCAGAGTACCTGAAACCACAGCAGTACATGTTGTGAATTATTTATTTGTTTACCCCATCGATAGTTGAACTCGGTCACCTTTTAATTTCTTTCTCCTGCCCATTGAAGGCTACCACAGTGCGTATGCCATTGACTACCTCTTCAGCGGTAGAACCGGCCCGAACGTAAAACTCTTGCTCTTTGGGTACGACCTTCCCCATGATCTGATAGTAAACACTTAAACATCGCTATCGTCAGATGTAATGACGACGATTCCTCACCATAGAAGTTACCGTGAGTGGTCCGAAGAAGATTGGGAAGAACCCAATCATAACTAGAGTCATTTGCCAACTGAAAAAGGATTGAAATTTGCATATTGTAATGCTTTTGCTACATTTGTAACAATAATAGTGAAGTCCGAAGTTCTAAAAGGTCCTAGAAGTGAATGCTATAATAAATGGGTGAAATAAAAGGTGACAAAACCTTTCCTTACCTACAACTCAAAGCAACTGTTATTCCAGCGATGAATGTGGCCACATAGGCGAACATAGCACCGAGTTTGTCGCCAATACCATCCCGAATCCGATCTATTCCACTGTAATACGCTATTACGGTAGCCAGGATTTACAGCGAAGACCTCAAGGTTGCTCTCGTATGATGAGAGCAATTGATCGAAAAAAAGCAAGCGATCTAACGGGAGGTAATAAGTGCCGCTTTTGGATTGGTGGTAAAGGATGAAGTTTTGAGGCAATAATTAATCCCGTCTGAAGGGAGCACCCACGCATTCGATTCCAATTCGGAATTGTAGTAGTGTATTGAATGTGTGGTAGCCTAATTAAGTTCTTGTGGAGGTCAACCGTACAAGTCCGTATCCTCCCGAACGTGATTTTATCCTCCCAAACAAGACAGGAAGCAATAGGCTACCCCGGAGGGATGGAAGGCTTGATTGGTCCTAACGGATACCAACCCGGGATTCGCTCCCTTTTGCTATATTACGCCACCTCTGCCCAGTGTTGGTGGTTTCACATTCGTCGCAATAGAAGCTGTCTCTTGATAGTATTAGGGTAAGGTGGCGAATTCCTGCGTGTGCTAACTTCTCCCCGAAATCCCATGGCGAACTTACATGGTCAGTCACCGGCGTTGGTCACCGCTGAGCATATGTTACATTACAAGCGATGAGTTTTTCTATAACTTCTACCTTATGCCTAACCACACCCACTTCACCCACATCTACTTATAAAAAATGAATTTCATTAAATGAACATACTCGCTCATCCGAGTTGTCAGAGCTCCACTATCATTTTGGTCAAACCAGGCCATATCCTGTCGTATCACTGATCCAAAGAAGCGATTTCTGATTTGATATACTTGCCGTTCACATACTGTATGCCAACAACACATCTAGAAGAAAATAAATACTTCATAAGCAAAAATACTGTCATGGTAATATTCAGTAGGGCTTTGCTTCGATCTCCCACCACGTCGCGCAAAGGCGGGTGCTACCAAGGCAATATTTGAGCCTCATAACCCCCGTTTTTGCGAGTTCATGTTTAAGAACTGCTATCCGTGTGACAATGGGGTCTATTCCCGGCCTTCTGCGCACAACAAGGAGTTCGAATCAGGATCCATAATTGCATACTGTATCTCAGATTCCTTTGAGACTGTGAACCGCGTTGTCCTCCCTAACTATATTTACTTTTCCTCTAAGTCTTTTTTCAAGATTTTCTAACTTTCGTAACGTTACGAAGTTGGTGAATAGGGTAATTTCCCATAGGAAGGATCCTGAAATTGACGGAACTAACCGATAGAAATCCAAGAGTGAATTGTATGAGACCAAATAGAGTATATCTGTAGACAGAGTTCATCGCTAGTTGTGTGAACTCATAATCGTCGAATATGCCTGCTTGCCATTCGAATTCACCTAATTATTATATTATTGAAAGCACACCATTAGTAGACTGGAAATTAAGAATGGCATAATCTTACCTATAATTAGAGCATCCATGAGATGCCGAAAAACCAGAGATGAGACAGAATTGAAAGTTCCTTGTGTGGCTGCGAACACCGCTCCCAGAATCATCAAACAGAAATCAAGTTTTGTTGCATAGCGAAACTGAAACGACACCTACACTCAGATTGCCTCTTAATTGCATCTACAAAACAAATGCAATAGATTAATTGTATAGCATTTAAATCATCTGAAAAGATAGAGGAGACCTCTGTAAGTCGCGCTTTCTGGGATTTTTTCGAAGACTAAACTAAGTAAGGAAGTTCTAAAACAAAGGCCACTAGATTGTAGCACCCACGTCAGGGGTCCAAACATCAAAGGAATACATATCGAATTTCTTCTCTATCTTTTCATGTTACATTTTATAGCAGTGCATGTTACAGTATAAAGTTCTGGGGCGAGGAAGGGGTATAGTGGCAAGTGGCGCTCTATCACACACGCACGGTCAGGGGTTCGAATCTCGGATCGATGCCCGCCTAGGCCAACCAAGCTTTCCATCGCTTAGGGGTCGGTTAATTGGTACCAGACC